GGGGAATCTCAGAGACCCTGGCAGCCCAGAAGGAGGGAGGCAGGGGGCAATAGCAGCAGCAGGCAATGGAGAGAGGCAGCAACAGTCACAGGAGCGGTGCCTGGACCCAGGGGGGAAAGTGTGGGAAGCCAAGGACATGAGGGCAGGAGCCCAAGGTTTAACTTCCATGGGCCGCACATGAAACTGCCAAATCTTGTAGCTCGAGGCCCTCACTAACATCTGCAGTACTGACTGATCATTCAGAGCACTGGTATGGCTCCTGGGTTACTAGCTGGACAGCTCTGCTGTCATGAAACCCAGGTGTCCACCATGGTGATGTGCCCCCCGCACAGCAACACAGCATGCACAAGAAACCAGATCTTGTAGAGATGAAAGAATCCTATATGTGGGGGTGGATCGCAGCAGGCAGGTATCCACACTGAGACTGGTATCCATGTCTCCGTGGCCCTGATACCAGTCCCCAGAGCAGCATGGTGGAGCTACGGCCCAGCAGCATGCCCAGGTGGGAGGGGAGTTACCAGAGTACACCTGGGGCTTTCCCTTTGTCTTCTAGGCTGGGCTTCTGTGACTTTACCCCAGCGATGGAAGAACATCTGAAAAAGCTTGCAGTTGAAGGGGTGAAGATTTCCTTTTAAAGTGCACCGTGTTGGGCAGCAGGACAGTGTTTTCCCCTCAGTGACGGCAGGGCTGGTCAGACAGATGAACCTGGGGATGTCTGCTGCAGTGATTCATGAGCAGTCACGGGGCCTAATGGGAAGCTGCAGACAAGTACTGTTCCCTCCGGCACTGCCTTACCCCTGCCCCGAGAATGAGAAGTGTGCCTCTGGATGGATCAGAGCTTGATTCGTACCAGGTTGAATCATACTAGCTCTGGGCTTGTTTGCCTAGAGCTCCACATTGGTTTAGCCCGTAAGCCCACCTCACATGGCTGTGCTGTCTTTGGTGATGGCCGAAGATCTGCAGAATCTTTCTGCTCCTACATTACATGAAGGAGTTGCACTTGATCAGTGGCTTTGACTTCTTGGTGATGCTTTTCTCCTTGGTCACTGCTGGCTTCGTAATCACGGGTCTCAGCCATCACTACCTTTTGAGACACTACGTTCACAATGATCATTGGCAGAGATCCTGTACAGTGCATCCCAGCAGTGGTTCTGAATCTTCATGGGCATTCTTCATGGATGTTTTAGAGCTGATGATAAAGATTTTCTAAAGTCAGATTCCAAGTGTGTGGTCTGTGTCCACCTGTATCTCCTCCCACACGATAGCTGCACTGAACACGCACCAGCACAGGGGCTGGGCAGCCCTAGTCTATTGTAGGCCTTTCATTGAGCTAGAGTCTGTTTAGCTTGCATTCTAGTAGCTTCAGCAGGCTTTTAGCTGCATTAATTTTAAGTTACCCCAAGTTAGCTTAAGTGAGACTAAGCAAAGTAGTATAAAAAGAACTGAGTCACTCACAAGAGAAACTTGTTGGGCTATCAGCCAGTCTTAGGACTTCTAATCCTGATAAAAGGAATTAGGTGTGTCTATACCAGGGGAGGGCAAAATACGGCCTGCAGGCCAGAGTGGGCCATGGCCTGCCAGGCACTTCCATCCAGCTTGTGGTGCCCCCCAACAAATTGTGCCCTGCTCAGCCCTTCCCCCCTGCAAGGCTGGAAGCAAGACACCCACGTATGCACCCCCCAAAATACCCTATTGCACCTCACTCCTGCCCTGCTGGGTGGAAGGGCCCTGCCCAACCAGCAGCAGCTTCCAGGGGGGCTCCTGCTGCAGCCCCCCCATGGCAACCTGCTTGGCTTCCTGGAAGTCAGCTTGCTTGGGGCAGCAGGTAGGGAAGCAGCGGGGCTGGTGAGGGTGTGGAGTTGCAGCTGGGTGGAAGTGCAGAGCACAGTGTGGTGCCTGTGCCCTGGGGGGCAGCGTGAGTTCAGAGCTCAACTGGGCAGAGTGTGGGTGTGAGGGTGGGGGGCTTCTCCGAGGCAAGTCCAGAGCTGCAGGCACATGGTGCGGATCCCCGGGGATAGAGGCGGCCAGGCTCCTGACCTCCTTCCTGCTGCTGCTGCCAGTCAGTGGGCGCTTCATGCCATGGGGGGAGTGTGTTGGGGGTCCCCACACCTCACACCCTCCCTCACACCCCACACACCCACAGCCTATCCCCACAACCCCCGTCAACATATACATATACTCCAACTTGCCCTATGTCACCCTACACAGCCACACCCTGTCATAACCTCCCCACATGCTCCCACACCCCCCCCACCCCCAGCCACACTCCACCATACACACACACACAATATAAAGGAGTAGCACTTTATTTTTGAGTTATTATGCAGTCCCGTCTATATACAGCACAATCACAAGTCATGACGTATTTTTTGTAATAAAATTAAAATATATTATAGTAGGCATTTGACTTCTAGTGTATGATTTGGGTTTTTTCAGGTTCTAAGATGGCAACTGCCCCCTCCCAAAAGGAGTATTTGGGGGTTGAGGGGCAGCAAGGGGAGGGACTTTCAGTGGCAAAGGTCAGGGTTCAGGAGGCAGGACTTCTGGTCCCAATGTGGTGACCAGGGGGTGGGGCATCTGTGAAGGGGCGAGGCTACTTATGCAGCCCCCGACAGCTCACCAAAACTTGTTAAGCGGCTCTCCACCTGAAATAATTGCCCGCCCCTGGTTTATACCATCTTGCTGAATAGAATGATGTTGTGGTATCTTTTTATAATATTTGTTGAACTTTCTATCAAGTAATGATGTGAGCCTTCGTTTGAGGAAAGGGATATGAAGGGGCTCAGTGCTCTGAGATGTATTCCTCTGGCATCCTTTCCTGAGGTTCCTGCCTGCAGATGCAATGAAGATCCAATGCCTCGTAGAAAGGTCTCTGGATTTGGGTGAGATCTCCTGAATAGGCCAGCCACCTGTTAGCAAGTCTTAAGATTTTAGGATGTAAAGATTCTAAGTTGTCGGCATCTTTCTGGTTGGGTCATTAAAATACATTTAGGTATGCATCGTGGGGAAAAGCTAAGGAAGGTTGCTTCAACATTCACCCCACTGAAGGACTGATTTTGCATGAGAACAGGGGCTGTGGAAAGAAACCTTCAGACCCTCGGATCTACTCTAGGGGTCAACACTATGGGAGCCCAGTCCTGCACTGATGGAGGTGGTGCTGAGGGAGCTGTCTGGAAGCAGCTTGCTGATGGCATTCCCAGTAGCACTCAGCACCTTTGCCCGCCAGTCTTTTCAAGCAAGGTTTTGAAAGGGCTTGGCTAGAGGGTTCATGTTCGCGGGTGCTAAGCTCTTCCCCTGTGGCATAGGCAAAGTGAGCCCAAGAGCAGAGGCCGTAGTAAATAATCAAATATAGGCTCACATCTTGCCTGTGCCATCTTCTGCAGGCACTTGTATGCTTTCTCCTTGTAGCCTGGCATACATGTGAGGAAATGCTTGTTAACATCTGGTGAAGTCACCACTTCTGTCTGTGTCTCAACCCTCTCTGGAGCCTGTCTGCTCTGGGATGGAGATCTGCAACCTCAGTAAATCACACTCCCGGTGGGCCCCTTCTCTCTGGATAGACTATCAGCCCCAGAACATTCCCGCTGAGCTCTGCACAGGGTGAGCTTGCCAGCCTCCCGCACATCTGTGTACGAGCTGCTACAGTCTTAGCACATGTCTTCCCTCTGTCTGCCTGCAGCACCCCACAGGGAGGGAAGGGCACCATGGTCCTGTCCTGCTTCAGTCCCCAACAGCAGAGCAGAGTAGGTAGAGGGGTCAGTGCCTTGCACCCAGGAAACAGGAGAGCTGGGGAAGGTGGCCAGCGCTGCTGAGGTGGGTTGGGAGGTCAAAAGGAGCCAGGCATGCATGAGGATGGTGGGAGCATAAAAGCGGGGGCCTGAGACCTGGCAAAACCTGGATGGTTTGGGGCAGGGGAGGGCTTGGCAGGCTGAAGGGGAAGGAGAGAGCTGGCGAGTAGTGGCAGCCTTCCTCCACCTCCTGCCTCGTGGATCGCAGGGGCCAAGCCGCAGCAGAGGCCTGAGGGGAAGCAGAGAGGGGGGCTGGTGATAGCCCCCCACCCCCAAGAAACACAGAGTGAGGCAAGAGGCCTCGCCACTCTCACCCCCCACCCCGGGACTGGCAGAGCAGAGGACAACGCCCATCCTGTGTGCAACCCCACGGTGTTGTTGACTTGACACGTGCCAGAGCAATGCTCGGGATCTCAATATTGCACTGTTAGGTGGGAGGGTGTGACACAAATTATACACACACACACTACACATACAACACTACAGGTCCACACACACATATACACACACGCAAACACTTCAGTGGCTGTGTGTGTTAACACTAGGGGGCACTTGGGGGTAATTGGGGTGCTTGGTGACTAGGGGCACTTGGGGCCCTGGGCAGAGCAGGCGGTGGATATGGGACTAGGAGAGAAGCCAGGGAGAGACAGAGAGTGAGAGAACCAGTGGGGAAGCTGGAGAAAGTCGGGGCGGAGATGGAGAGGTAAGCCGGGCAGCCGGGCCGGGAAGCCAGGAGGCAGTGGAGAAAGTCGGGGCTATAGGGGCAGACAGGCAAGGTGGGGCAGAAGCCGGGAGGCTGAGAGGAGATGAGCCAGAGGTAGGAGAGGAGCCTGGAGGCAGGTTGGGGGTTAGAAGGGAGCGGGGAGGTGAGGGCAGAGCAGCTGGGGTCGGAGGCAGCAGAGAGGGAGCCGAGATGACAGAGAGAGAGTAGAGAGGGACGCGATGCAGGTCAGAGCAGCGGAGAGCAGAGATCAGAGCAGGGCCGGGAGGTCAGTAAGACAAAACCCACGTCGGGGTTGCAAAATAACAATTTTATTAGATAGGCAACACAATATACAGACCACAAAGTTATTGGTTCCCGCGCATGCACACACAAACTCCCACACGCACTCACACAATGGGAGCAGGAGGGAAAAGGCGTAGTAAGGGGATTGAGGTCAAGGTGTGCAGAGACAGAGCTCAGGTCCCTTGCTTGGGGGAAGAAGGTGGGTGATAGCTACCTCTCCGGGCTGTGAGTTGATCCTCAATGGCCAGTCGGGGTCTTCTCCAGCAAGCGGGGGTTGCTGGCAGGGCCTCTGGGTGGATAGGTGGCATGGCGTAGTGCTGGTCCGGATGGAGAGGGCATCCCAAGGAGCTCACACTCTACCACCTGCTTTATAGGGGCGGGCTACCTGTGACTGCAATGGGGAAGACATGCCCAGGCAAGGGCCAATCCTGCTCAGATGAAGATGTGCAGTTTCTGGTGTTCTCATTGTCCGGTGGGATACAATGGTGGAGTTGCTGGTTTCTATTTTGATCTTTGTTTCCATGTGGCTGGTTTCTTGGAGGATCTTTATCTTCCAAATATTGGGTTTTCTCCCTGTTCCTTGGAGTAGGTCTGTGGTTTCAGGGAGCGTCAATGCAAGGCAGTGGTAGCGTCATTAATTTGGTGGTCCAGTCATTAAGCTGACGGTCTAGTCATTCAGCAGG